TACATCCTAAGTCAAAAAATGAGCCATGTAGGTCCACGTCTTCATATAGTCCCCATATAACGGAACCCCCGAAATTCGGTATTTTGATGATTTTAGCGACATTATTCCCCGGAATTGTTCCAAAATTGGTATTTGAAGTTCGTAATGGATATTTCAGCCCATGTCAGAAAATTGTCTGTGCATATAAACAGATTTTTCTTCAAGTTTCGCATTTAAATATTGTAATAACTTATGACAAAGGTTGCCTATGCAGGTCCACGTCGTCGTATAAGCATTCGATATTTTTAAGATTTTAACAGAATTTTTAACGGATTTTATTTATTTATTTTATTTTTTTTTGTTTTTGTGGAAATTGCCAAATTTGCACCAAGTGGTGGAGGGTATTAAAAGTTCGGCCCGGCCGAACTTACAGCCTTTTTAATTGTTTTAATACCTACTCGTACCTTTTGAAAGGTAAATTCAGTTTTATAAAATGCCCAATCGGAGCTTTTATTACTTCTCTGGAAGGCAGTATGTTAGCAATCAGAGAAACAGGAGAACCGTTATAGTATTTTGAATTTCAACAGCATCCGCAATTTCATATTATGGACAAAAAGTAATGTGAAATGTTGAAGCTGTGGATGCCTAACAGTCGTAAATTAAATTTCAATAAACATATGGTAGATATTTGGTTTTCGAGATTCCAAAATGTCAAAAGTGTAATTTCTGCTAACCCAAAAAGCCAATCAATATCTGCTGAAAGGGATCATTAAAAGCTAAGTGGGAACAATTCAACAAAATTTGGTAAGGAAGTTTTTGTATTTGATTAGTGTCTCAATTTCATTTGGAAGACATTTTTCAACATTTGCTACATTCCTAGGAGGAAGATATCAAAATGACGAAGTGTTAATTGTAGGTGGTGTAACTAATCGCACCGGCCTCAGCTACTGTCATACGAGGGCAACTTCTTAGCCTAGTATGAACAAAAACCAGTAAAGTCTTTATGATACCTTACACCACTTTAGTAGAGCTTCACACAAACAAAAGTTTTTATGGAGAATTTGTGAGAATTAAATCATACAATTAAAGTCCAAAGAAACCAATATATGAAAGAAATATCCTCCTCGAATCGATTTCGACTAAATTTTGCCGAGGAAATCGGATAAAAATATATATCGGAGCTATATCTCGATAAAATTTGGCAAAGGTATTTCTGAGCTGTATTTGATATATTTTCCCGAATACCGCAACTACGGAGTCCATATTAAATTTAAAAAATCGGATGAACAATATGTATGGGAGCTACAGCTATATCTGAACCGATTTCCACCAAACTGGCATACTGGTTTCTAGACTCTAGGCAAATCGGACGAAGATATATGGGTGCTATATCTAAATACTAACCGACCTGAAATTTAGCAAAGGTATTTCGGAGTTGTTTTTGCTATTTTCCCCCGGATGTCGTTGTAACGGAGTGCATATTACGGCTATGGAGAACAAATATAACAAATCGGATGAATATTATATATAGGAGTTATAGCTTTATCTGAACCGATTTTCACCAAATTTTACATACTTGTTTCTAGGCTCAATTCGGTCGTAAGTGCCAATTTCCATGCCATTTGCACTTATATTACACGATTGATGCACAATAAAACGCAAATCGGACGAAAATATATGTGGGAGCTATATCCAAATCTAAACCGATCTCGATAAAATTTGGGAAAATATTTCTGTGCTGTATTTGATATATTTTCCCAAAAATCGTTGTTACAGAGTTCATATTACGTCTGCGGAGGACAAAAATAACAAACCAGATGAACAGTATATATGGGAGCTATAGCTATATCTGAACCGATTTCGATCAAATTTGGCATACTTTTTTTCAGGCCTAATTTGGTCGTATGTGAAAAAATTCCATACAATTCGGGTTGATATTGCACGTTTGGTGTACAATAAATGGCAAATCAGACGAAGATATATATGGGAGCTATATCTAAATTTTTACCGATTATCTCCAATTTTAATAAGGTTCGTCCTTGGCCCAAACAAATGTTGTTTGGAAAATTTCATCTCAATCGGATAATAAATGCGACCTGCATTTTGTTCACAAGAATACATGGACAGACGGACGGACAGACAGACGGACTGACATGCATAAATTGACTCAGAAAGTGATTTTATAAATATCCACATAAGTAACCATCTATCTTGCTTCCTTATCCATGTTACAAACAAATACACAAAGACATAATATCCTTACCACTATGTGGTGCAGGGTATAAAGAAGGACTTTGAAACGTTAATAAAACTGTCTCTATCGATTACTTTAGGTTGCAAACAAGTAAAATTGATCCAGGTCGAAATTTTCATACACTCCACCATCTGGAAAGTAACTCATATACAAACTTCTGCTTGAAAATATTACTAAACTTTTAAGAACATTGAATATCTGTTGGTATCGTTTTATGGGGGCTATAAAAAAACGTGAACCTATATAGACAATGTATTGCCACTAGATTTAGAACACCTTTTGACCTCAAAACACCGAATTTGAAGCTATTCCGTTCAAAAATGTGGCTAAAATCGTCAAAATATCGAATATAGGGAGGTAAAATTTTATGGGGACTATACAAAAACGTTGGCCGATATAGCTCATCTTCAGATTTGACCTGCCTGCAGAGAAAAGACAACACTACGGAAAATCTTAGTTTTTATACCTTACAACACTATATGTTGGGAGTATTATAAGTTTGATTGGGCCAAAAATTATGTAACACATCGAAATATTGGTTTCCCACAAAGGAAAGTACATTTGGATCTTTTTATCTCCCCGAGCTCAGCCGATCTAGCTATATATGTCCGTCCATCCGTATGTCCATGTTAATTTGTAACAACGCTAAAGGTCGCAATATTGGCCCGATCCTCACGAAATTTTGCAGGGAGCTGGGGTTAGAATAGAAGCCCATTGCTTTTGGAGAAGTTCGCATAATATTTAAAGGTTGAAATGGACCAAAAACCAATTTTTCCTGTTTTTATACCCTCCACCATACTATGGAGGGTATATTAATTTTGTCATTCCGTTTGTAACTCCTCGAAATATTCATGTCAGACCCAACAAAGTATATATATTATTGATCAGCGTAAAATTCTAAGACGATTTAGCCATGTCCGTCTGTCTGTCTGTGTGTCTGTCTGTCTGTCTGTCTGTCCGTCTGTCTGTTGTAATCACGCTATCTTTCGAACAAATTGAGATAGAAGGCTAAAATTTTGCACACAGTAGGCAGGTTAAGTTCGTAAATGCGCCATGTAGGTCCAAGTTATCATATAGCCCCCATATAACGGTACCTCCCGATATTCGGTATTTTGATGATTTTAGCGACATTATTCACCGGAATTATTTCAAATTTGACATTTGAGGTTTGTAATGGATGCTACAGCCTAAGACAGAAAATTATCTGTGCAGGTCCACGTCTTCCTGTAGCCCCCATATAACGGTACCCCCCGATATTCGGTTTTTTGATGATTTTAGCGACATTGTTTACCGGAATCGTTTCAAATTTGGTATTTGAAGTTCGTAATGAATACTACATCCTAAATTAAAAAACGAGCCATGTAGGTCCACGTCTTCATATAGCCCCCATATAACGGTACCCCCCGATATTCGGTATTTTGATGATTTTAGCGACTTTGTTTACCGGAATTGTTTCAAATTTGGTATTTGAAGTTCGTAATGGATACTTCATCCAAAGTCAAAGAATGAGCCATGTAGGTCCACGTCTTCATATAGCCCCCATATAACGGTACCCCCCGATATTCGGTATTTTAATGATTTTAGCGACGTTATTTACAGGGATTGTTTCAAATTTCGCATGTGAAGTTCGTAATGGATTCTTCAGTCCATGCCAGAAAATTGTCTGTGCAGGTCCACGTCTTCGTATAGCCCCCATATAACGGTACCCCACATATTCGGAATTTTGACGATTTTAGCTACATTATAAACATATTTTTCTTCAAGTTTCGCATTTAAATATTGTAATAATTTATGACAAAAGTTGCCTATGCAGGCCCACGTCGTCGTATAAGCATTTGGTATTTTTAAGATTTTAACAGAATTTAGGGTTTTATTTTTTGGAAATTGCCAAATTTGTACCAAATGGTGGAGGGTATTAAAAGTTCGGCCCGGCCGAACTTACAGCTTTTTTACTTGTTCTTGTTATTATTTCTTTTTTTTGGCAAGATACCATTCCGAAATTATATGAAATGTTAAAGTCCGTCAAGCAGTTCTTGCGTTTTAAGCGTAGTAATTAACACTACTTTCTTTTATATGGAAATATGAAATAATTCTTTATTTTGTATACCCTTCTGAATACTTAAATTTATAAATAGCATTGTTGTCCGTTGTCGCTTTATACTACCGTAAAAGGACTACACATCATATTAATTTTCAAAAAACAAAAAAAAATCGAAAAGAAAAAAACACTACAAATGTACATTTGAAAATAGTAAGTCAAAATGAAAAAAAAAAAAATCATGCAATATAAAACATTACTATTGTACATTTTGAAAGTCAAAATGAAAATGTTTAAATTTCACATTTTTCCACGATTTGTTTGGATTTTATCCTTTTCTGCCAAGAGACAACACCGAATTTGTCTGGATCGTTAAAATCAGACCGGCGGTTCTTGAGTTATAAGCGTAGTAACTAACACAACTTTCTTTTATATATATAGATAGATTAAAAAGTAGGCGTGGTCAGTTCCTCAGCCCCCAGGGGAAGTCAACAGTATCTCGTGTAATAATTTTTAAACCAATATCTTCATTATTTGCGAAATATAAGGATTTTAGATAAATCGAAATAGTGGGCGTAAAAGGAGCCGTGGTCAATATGTTTTTCTTTAAAAACCTAACTCGGGGTATGACGAACGTTTGTACAAAAAATTATTCAAATCGGTCCAGCCGTTTTCAACTGATTCCATTACCAACAAACAACAATTGATTTTTATATATATAGAAGAAGATTAAGAGATAAGACATTCTTTTTTATTTTGAAAAACAAGTAGGATCAAATTATGGAAAATGCATTTTTCGATTGAACCATCCGCCCGTTGAAGACAACGTGAACGGCCATTCTCTCGTTTGTTTTCAATTTTGGTAAAAGCTGTAATGCATAAAAGGAATTTGTTTTAGTAAAAAAATATTAAACAAATGGGATAATCAAAGCGAATTAATTACCTTTGGTGTTACAAAGAAGTATTGCGCATTACCAGATTTGGTGGTTTCATCTACCAACATTTCAAAAATCTTTCTTTCATTCCGTGCATCCATACCTTGGTTTATTTCATCTACACACCGAAAAGGTACATGCGTTATGTGCTGCATAGACATTGTGTAAACAGCAATAGCAACAGCTCTCTCTCCTCCTGACTGTACGTGACGATTGAGTGCCTGCAGCGGAACGTTTTTGCGATACTGCACCAGAATTTCTATACCGTACGACTCAAAGTCATGCTGTAAGGATGAAAAAATAAAGACTAAAAATTACAGGCGGTCTCAAAATAAACTTATCTTGAATATAGAATATAGGGAATTACCGTTATATTAGGTTCTATACGAAAAGGCCTGCATAGCCTAATGTACCCATTACGAACATAAAATCTAAATTTGAAACAATTCCGATGAATAATACCGCTAAAATCATAAAAAACATTTGCAACTAGTATACACATTTCATAAATTGTCTTAATAAAACCTGTGGGGTAATGTTATTCAAATTTTATTTGCATTTTTGTAATATTGTAGATCTAAGGTAGCATTTTAAACAAAAATTACATATACGTCTTTGTAATTTAGAATATTTTTAAAATTTTTGTGAGGAAAGTCATTATTTGGACAAGACAAAACAATTGCAACTTAAAACATTTTCTTGTTAAACTGTAAAAACCCGTTATGTTTTGTTTCGTTTTGATCTCATTCGCTGATTTTTGATAGAAAACCACATGATTTTTTAGTTGCAAAAATATTTCAAAAAAAAAGGCCGGTTCAGCTTGTGTTCCGCAATATCGGTAATAATGGCACCAAATAAATTCGGTACACCTTTACGAAAGCTAATTATTGACGATTATAACTGTGGAATTTCTCAAAAAGAGCTCTCCTTTAAATACAAAGTGCATAAGTAATCAATTTCAAGAATTTTATCACGTTTTAGAAAAACTAAATCGGTGGAAGTTATAAGCAATGGTGGCAGGCCGCGAAAAACTGATCAAAGGACAGACTCGTTAATTGTAAGAGAGGTTAAAAAATATCCTTTCAAATCGGCTCCGATATTGGCAAAAGAATTGAAACTACAAATTAGCGCAAAAACGATTTGCCGACGTCTCGTTGAAGCTGATTTGTTAGCTTATCGCCCGGCGAAAAAAACCCCTTATATCTAACCGAAACAAATCGAAACGGCTTCAGTTTGCCTTAGAACATGTTAACTGGCATAACTCACGTTAGAAGACCCAGAGGAAAACGAATTCAACAGGAGTTTTGCCTGAAGACAGTCAAACATGGAGGTGGCCATGTCATGGTTTGGGGATGTTTTTCTGCCAACGGATTAGGTCCGCTGTATCGAATACAGGGTACTATGGATAGATGGGTCTATAAAGACATTCTGGAAAACGTTATGTTACCATATTCTGAATGGGAAATGCCATTACGGTGGATATTTCAGCACGATAACGATCCCAAACATACCTCGAAGGTGGTAATAGATTGGTTAAAGGAAAAAAAGTTGCAGTAATACAATGGCCACCACAGTCACCGGATATTAATCCAATCGAAAACCTCTGGTCAATTGTGAAACACAAAATTGATCGCAATAACGTAAAAAATACGGATGAATTTTTCAGTCGGGTCCAAGATGCATGGTATGGAATTCCACAGGATACAATAATTAATTTGATAGAGTCCATGCAGCGACGATGCAAGGCTATTATTGAAAATAATGGTTTCGCTACGAAATATTAAAAAAAAATGTTAACCATGAATTATTTTAAGTTGCAATTGTTTTGTCTTCTTCAAATTATGACTTTCGTCATAAAAAGTTTAAAAATATTCTAAGTTTCAAAGACATGAATTTAATTTTTATTTAAAATACCCGCTGACATTTACAATATTACATAAATGCAAATAAAATTTGAATATATATATATATATATATATATATATATATACATATATATATATATATATATATATATATATATATATATATATATATATATATATATATATATATATATATATATATATATATATATATATATATATATATATATTTAACACATATAGTAGTTCCTTTTGACTTTAAATTATAACTGTTTTAAATCCATAATACGACTTCAAAGACAATCATGGTTGGTATGATTTATTTTTCATAAATTCATTTTCATTTTATTTTATTTACCTTACAAAGAAATATAACCCATAACTTATATTATCTATCTACAATACCCTAACATAATACAAATACAATCATTAATTCAAACTTGACAAAATAAAAATTCACGAGAAACCCGAACCCTACACCACGATTCACCATCACCAACTAAGCAATAGTCTAGTAGAGCAGACAAAAAGTGTAACAGAAACGAGCTAAAAATAAGAGAGAACTATTATATTACACACTAAACAGAGTATAAATAGTAATTTACATTATAACACCCTACAAATAAAATTAAGAAGTTAATATTGTGGCTCCCCAGCCCAACAAAAAGAAAAACTCATAATAAACCGACGCAACCACTACAAAAACATAGCCTACATATTTAGGCGAACGTACTCAATTACTTTAAACCTAAACAGATAATTGGTATAGGCAAAAGTACGTAAGGCCAAAGGATTCCACAATCTCACCGCCCTAACCACAAAGGATCTCTCACCAATGGAGGACGAAAACCTTGGACACAACAATTGAGGATTTCGAGATGATCTACAAAACCATCAAGTTGTCACGTGAGTCGAAATTGCACATAACACTGTAATGAAATTGAAGAATACGAAGATCAACGTAGCTGCTAAATGGCAATCCCAGGAGATCATTAACAAAACAAGAAACATGATCACCGCGACGCAAGCCATACACGTAACGAGCAATCGAATTTACTGCCCTACGAATACGTTGCATTTGAGAAGGAGTAGTGCCGGAGACTACATCCGGACAATAATTTACCTGCGACAACAGCAAGGATACAACCACTCTCTTCCTTACATGATACAAAAGGCAAATACGCGTTCAGACAATGCAGCCTCCGCAGCTGAAACCTTATGCGACAAAGCAATGTAATGCGTCTCTTAAAGTCCAACTTCCGATCAATTATAATATCAAGACATTTCATTTCATCAACAAATTCCCCTAACACAAAACACACAGAAATATTCAGGGCTGTCATAGAAACCAATTTTGTCACTATTGGTTTTAAAAACGACAAGAAAACATGCTTTAGTGTCATGAAAATCAATGTTATCGGTTTTACTTTCGAATTAGAATTTTATCGGTTTTGGTTGTCATAGAAGCCAATGTTATTGGAAATAAACCAAGTTGCTTAGAGCTGTCACTTTTCATTTGCTTTGGGTTTTTAAACAATTTTTAAAGGATATTCAAAGGACTAAAAATGTGGATTTTTTAAACAATTTTTAAAGGATATTCAAAGGACTAAAAATGTGGATTTTTAAAGGATATTTAAAGGACAATAAACGTGGATTTTTTAAGGATTTTTAAAGGATATTTAAAGGACCATAAACGTGGATTTTTTAAGTATTTTTTAAAGGATATTTTAAAGACCATAAACCATAAATCTGCAAAGCAGCTTTATGAGTAAGTTCACAATAAAAAATTTACTTACGCTATCTCCGGCAACTCCAATGGGTTGTTGAAATCTCTAGCAGCTTTTCTCGTCACCTTTTCTGAGCGTTCTTCGTCCAACAACACAAAAACTACCACTGCTGATACCATCTTACTTTATTTATAGCGACTTATTCCTTTTTTATTTACTTATACTGATATTTCAATGACAGATAAACAAATAACACATGTAAGCAACAACAGCTGTTTCGAACATTGGTTTTATTTACATTCGAAATTGACAAAACCAACTTAGTTTCATGACACCATATGAAACCAACATTGGTTTACGAAAACGACAATAAGCAAAACCGACATGGTTTCTGTGACAGCCCTGATTAAGATCATTGAACAGCATAGCTTTAGTTTTATTCCAATTAATCATGAGGCCATTTAGCGAAATCCAACATAAAAGAGACAAAACAATAGAATTAACCAACCCTTCCAACCCAGCAATATAAGCCTCTCTGAGGAAAACATGAATATCATCTGCATACAAAAACATACAACACCTGTCATCAACAACTGACTGCACAATGTCATTAATGAACATAATGAATAACAACGGTCCCAGTACAGAACCTTGCGGGACCCCACATTGAACACTACAAACTTCAAACGAAACACCCAAATGAACAACACAATCCCACGGCAGCGGGTTTTACGATAGCGGATTGACCCGAAACAACAAGATCCCAGTTTCGGCCAGCGGCTGCCAACCCAGTATGTACATGTTTGTGTTTGTTTATTTTTCTGCATTGGGAGCAGCATATCCCGGAATGCTTGCTCCGGATTTTATTGGTCCGTGCCGGGATTGAGGAAAACCCCGGACCTTGGTTCTGCTCGGTTTGTCAGAACGTCATCCACCACAGATCTGTTTCGGTGCGATGTAATGGATGCAGAGAATGGGTGCAATTCAAGAACTGTTCCGGACTAAGGCGTTTGCGAGACTACAGCGGAAGGGATTATGTTGCGACTTGCTGCAGTAACGTAGTCCCCAGCGAGTCCACTTCTTAGTCGTCCTCATCTGAGACGTCGTCGGAGTATGGCACTCCACCGCAGTCTCCAGAACAGCAACCAACACCGCAACACCTAACGCCACATGTTGCTTTTCCAACTCCGGATTGTGCAGCATTCTAGCAATTCAATTGCAACGGACTTCGAGGCAAAATAGATGAGATAGTGGAATTTATGAGTCGGAGGAATATTAAGATCGCAGCGGTGCAGGAAACCAAGCTGAATGAAAATTGCAGCCTACAACGTTGTTATGGTTACAACATACTAAGGAAGGATCGCACCAGAAGTGGAGGTGGGGGATTAGCGTTCCTGTTACACCATTCTGTTCAGTACAGACCTATCTCGCTTGAGCTAGTCTCTAGTGACCCATACATGGAATGTATAGGGGTAGCAGTCAAGTGTGGAACTGCCGAGGTAGAGGTGCTTAATGTGTATATCCCGTCGATTAATAGCTATGAACCGCGTTATTTGCCTGATATTAGCCCATTATTGGTAGGCAATAACCGCCTGGTACTAGGGGATTTTAGTTCCCACCATGAGTTGTGGCATTCCGTCCTAGGTAATGACCAGAGGGGATCAGCGCTGGCAGAGCAGATTGACTGCTCCA